AGCATACAATCCGACCCCGGTTGATATTTTAATACTTTCATAAGAAATGTATCATATTTTATTCTACATTTGCTGAATAAGACTCGATTCAGCCGTACATTCAATTTAGTGGAGTCAAAAAAGGCGCAAGAGACAGATTGACTCAGTAAGTGACAAATATTTGTAAAATGAAGTTTGTTGGTATTTTCATATTTGTTGCTCTAGTTATTTTTGTAAGTGCTCGAAATCACCTGGATAATGAAGTGTCGGAAGTAAAAAATTTAACGGATGATGACATCAAAGTGGTTTGTTATTTCACAAATTGGTCATGGTATCGGCAAGGAATCGGAAAATATTCACCAGAGGACATCGATTCGCACTTATGCACTCACATCGTCTACGGGTTTGCTTCATTAGATGCAAATACATTAAAAATCAAAACATATGATTCATGGGTAGACATCGACAATCACTTCTATCAACGCGTTACTGCTTATCATCAAAAAGGAATAAAAATATTGATTGCCATTGGTGTGTGTATGAGTCAATGACTTGGTTTATTATTTGTTTTTTTTTCTCATCCCATGAAAATTAAAGCGAATCATCTTCAATTACATAATAAATTAAATACAACTGTTTTATAATACATTTCTTCGATTTATTTCACTAATAAGTCTAATTACCATTACAGGTGGATGGAATGATTCCACTGAAAAATACAGTCGTCTACTTACAAATCCAAGTGCAAGACACAAATTCATCGAGAGTGTTATAGATTTCATTGGAAAATATAATTTTCAGGGTCTGGATCTCGATTTGGAAGTGAGTATTTGTTCAATATCCTAAACAACATGCAATGCACGATTAAATATTTTGGAAACCAGTGCCGTGATGCTATGACACAATTCTGAACGAGATTATTTACGTATTTTTAAAATAATAAAACGTTCATTTCAAACATCTCGTTCGGAATTGTGTCACAAGATCGCCGTACCGGAAAATTTTAATTTTTTACACCTTTTTCCAAAAGAATAAATGGTCTTTAAAATACGATAGATTTCGTAATTTCAACGCTCGTTGACCAAAGACCCAACTTTGAATTTTGTCAAAGCAAATCGTCGGCACCAGTAATTGTTCAATTCGAATTTTGATTATTTTATTTACTTCTTTATTTTTTACATTTCACCAGTATCCAGGATGTTGGCAAGGATTATGTCGAGCAAGTTCCGCACGAGACAGACAAGGATTTTCACAATTTATTCAAGAATTATCAGAAACATTTAAGCCGCACAATTACTTGTTGTCTGCGGCAGTTTCGCCAGGCAAACAAATCATTGACATTGCCTATGATGTACCAATACTGTCACAATATTTAGATTGGATTGCATTGATGGCATATGATTATCATGGCAGTTGGGATCGATCAACCGGACACAATGCACCGCTTTACTATTATCCAGGCGACAAATATGATTATTTCAATGTCGATTACACTGTAAATTATTGGATTAAAAAGGGAGCACAATCGGACAAGCTGGTTTTGGGAGTACCTGCTTACGGTCG